CCCAAGTAGCAAAAACTACACTAGATGGAGGCTTGTACAACATCTCAAGGTTTAGGCAGGGGTGGGCAAAATGTGGCCTGGGGGCCAGATGCAACCCACCAGGCCATTCTATCTGGCCCACGGGGCCCCTAAAAAATTTAGAAAATTAATTAATCTGCCCTGGGCTGCCTGTCCTGCAGCCCTCGATGGCTTGCTGAAACTCAGTAAGCTGACCTCTGCCCAAAATAATTGCCTGCCCCTGGTTTAAAGGGAAAACCAAGGTGAAAGAACTGGTTCTGAGAGATTTCCTGTTTCTGGATGACCCAACCTTAGTTGCCCACAGTGAATCTTCCTGGCAAAATCACTTGGCCAGATTTTCTGAGTCATGCAATAGCTTTAGGATGATGATTAGTCTGAAGAAGACTGTGATCATATACCAAGGGGTGGAAGAAGCAATATCTGACCTCACTCTGGAGGATTAATCTCTTGTTGTCAAAATCTCTTTCTATATATGTGTATACATAATAATTATTATTATGTGCTGTTACTATGCTGCATTTCAGCCTGAATGTAGGACTGTACTTCAAGAATTCCTCAATTAAAATCTTAATTTTGTTTCTCTAGGTAAGTCAACAAACCTTTTCAGGTCCGTTTGCCTGTATGTATAATAGCGACCATAATACCTCTTAAGGATGTTACATAGGCTAGGTAGTTCAAGTTTATTAAGCACTTCTGATGTAGGTTGTGTGTGTCTTTTATATAACATATTTTATTCTGGATAGGTTGTACCACCTTTAAGACCTGTAGACTGTATCTGGAAACCAGTAACTCCTCTATTTTCCCAATTTTCAGATCCCTATTTACATACCAGTAAAAAAACTGTCATCTCAAATTTAACACAGGATCTTAAAGAACTTGGAGTTTCTAATAAATGTTAAACCCAAGCCACCCACTTGCAAAGTTATGGTACAAAACACTTAATGTGCATTCTCTCACACATTCTCATCTGTATATATTCACAGCATTTTAATTAAGTTGTTCACTGTGTCCTTGTAATTTTATTGTTTTCTTTCATTACTGCTGTATAGTAGATGTGATTTAAAAAGGGCCTTATTGTGTAGATTAAGATTATGCTCCCTCTAGAGAATGGAGAGGAGAATGAAGGAGGAGGCAGACATGTTTTCTTTACCTGGGAGTTGAAATAGCAAGATGATTTTTGACTCGTTTATGTAGTAGCAAACAAAATATTTTCTATGGGAAGCCAGATATGGCTTTGGGAATTAAATTATCTTGGCTAAAATCTGAGAGGCAGGTATATATTCATTTCTAGAAATTAATGGCTAAATGTTTGCTGTGAAAAGTTTCTCTTCAAATACAGGAGGATTAGGTCACTTTAAGCAGCAAGTGACTTCAGTTGCAGTTTCTTGATTCCTTATTCCAATTAAGGTATTTTAATTTAACATTTTTCTTATAAATGCCAGGTTAGCAAACATTCATTTTCTGATGGAGGTTGTTGCACTGATTCAACTGAAATGAATTGCATCTGTCACTCAACCTTATGATCAGAAAGGCATAAAAGGCAAAAATGTATTTAAGTAGTAGAGCACAAAAATAAAATTTCTGTGTAAGAGCTGCTTTCCATTTTTGTTACTTTCGGTCAAATGTTTTCATATGTGTTAGCCAATCAGTTGTGGGATGTCCTTTATTTCAGACAACTATTCAAGGATCCTGATCTGTATTACTAAACAGGATTTTCTTTCTATCGGATATTGTTATCACAGAATAGGTACTTTCCAGTGGTCTAGTCATTGAGATTTTGTTTAGTCTTTCCTGGCTTGCTAATAATGCTTTTTCACAAAGGGGCTATATATGCAGTTGTGCTTCTTTTAGTTTTATAGGATTCCTGAAATCAAAAGCAAATAGTTTCTAATTCTTTTCAACAGTATTAATAAAAAGGAAATTATTTTTTATTAGAAGAAACTAATAAATAGTATTACAATACTTCTGATTTCCCTACTTAGTTGGGGAACTTGCTGGGCTCGGGTCTATACAACAATATACCAAGAGACAATCACTTCTCCAAAAACTTAGTTTCCATGAAGGAAAACAAGATAAGAAGAACCACAATAATGCTTCAGTTCCAGCTCTGAGACAGTTGTGATTACAGTTTTTTTGCTTTGAAATTAGCTCCCTTTGGCTCTTGGGCAGAGAGCAAGTTTGATTAGCTTCAGAGTGAGACATCAGGCCTGATTATTTTGTTAGTTTTTGGCTTGTTTGCTTTGTCTGATATTGGTTTTTGATTTGGATTAGATTCCTCTGGACAAAAGGCCTGCCAGAATATGATGATGATACCTCCAACTGCAGTAATGTAAGTATTATTTAAGTTATGTGTATTGTAGGTTGCACATGTAATGTGTGTTTTCATTTTTTTAATCAGTCAGTGCCTAGTCATCACTGTAATAAGCATGAAGAAATTCATTAAATCTAAGTGCCCCACTAAAATGTCTTGTGATTTAGCAGTAGTTTTTTTTCATTTAGTCTCAAAAGATATCACTCTGCTTTCAACAACAAATGTCTTTTTTTCCTCTCCAGTTAGAAGAATGCTAATGTCACAAATGCTGTGCCCTGTTAGGCCTCTGGTCTTTTCAACTCAAACACCAAAAATCCATTTAAACTTTACAACAAAAAGGTATATTTATTTGCTTTTCCATATTGTGCTCATTCAAACTTGGTCAGATGACAGTTGTAAAATTAAAATAAGTTATTTAGCACCCTGGAGCAGTCATCTGTTCTAACATGCATAATTTATTTGAAACTCATTTGAGAAGTTGAGGGATTGATAGTTTGCAACAGAAAAATGATAGGCATACTAAGTATGGCCTTGCAAAACTAAACTGTGTAATCATATATTGAGACCTAATATTTCAAGATTTAAGTGTACAATTGTTTGCACATATAATAGCATTGAAAACACTATGAAAAGATTACTTTGTAAACCCATACCTCTGCACTTTAAGTAGCAGAGCACAAAAATAAAGTTATCAGATTTAGTGCTCCTTTCCATTTTTGTTACATTTAATCCAAATTTTCCTATATATTAGCCAATCAGTTTTGGCATGCCCTTTGAACAAATATTACATATAGAATAGAATAATCTGTTTGTAATTTACAGTAGCTTCCAAATGTCTTCAATAAAGACCTTTGGGAAATTTTATTGCAATTAAATTGGAAAGAGCATATGAAATATATATAGCCTTGGCTTTAATATACATGAAAAACAAAACCTAACCAAACTCAGCAGAAGTTTAAAAAAATAATGTAACAACCCCCCCCCCCCCCAAACTCAGAATAGGAATAGCTGCCATGATACATTTATGTGTTTAAGTTTACTTGAAAAAGTAAACTGAGGATATAAGGATCTTTTTTGTGCTCTTTAGTGACAAAACTATAACTAAAATAAACATATAATCAATTGATTGATAAGATAGAACATGAGAAATTCAGTATACCCATTATTAAGTGTGGGCAGAAAATAACAGCTAGCAAAAAGGGAAAAGCTATTTAGTCCTGATTAGCAGGTGAACTGTAATTAGAGCTTTTATATTTCCTCTTGGTTTTATTTTATATTTTATTTTATTGTATATTTTCCACAGGCCTTACTGCTTTCACCTTTTTTGGATGGAACCACATTGTCCTACAAACTTTATACTGGATCTGTGGCCTGAAGCCTCCTTGTTTTTTAACTTTGAAAAGCTCAAATGTGCATTTTGCGCTGGTAAGCCTTTTTCCTTCAGGAGCGAATGTCTGACTGATTAAATTACCCCCAAAACAGGTTGTTGTTTTTTTAAACAAAGTATTATTTATTAACTTGAAGGCACATAGTGCACAAAGTGTAAAAACCAAAAAAGGCCTGTATGCATAAGTCTCCATTATCTCTATCATAAACTTTTCTTGCAAGGTTTAATATGTTCCTTTCAATCAAGCTACTTCCATCTCTAGGTTGGGAGAGACAGCCAGTTACTGCAGTTTTTGTGTGCCTTTCTCTGTGTGTCTTATTAGTATTATCCTTCCTTAGGCAGCCCACTGAAGCTCCTCTTTCTCTCTAGGCCAGCATCTTTATGGTTTTACTGTTTCCTTTCATTGTAGGCTGAGGCCTAGTATAAGTAAAGCCTACCAATCTAAAACAAACCAAACAGGGCCATTACCCAATGAATATTTCTCCCTTGTTTTTTCAAGAACCATTGGTAATATATGCCTTGTACCTTATCCTTGTTTTTGTTTTGTTTCCCAGTTGATGCCTTCCAATAATCTCTCTTGATATTACCAAACAACAGAATGTTGCATCTCATATACCACTGATATTTACAAAATACAATACAGCTAACTCCCACGTTCTCCACCACAACAGAACAGATGCAGTAGGAATAGGGCAGTGTTTAGTTTCCACACCCTGTGGGGGTGTCTACATGAGATGTTTACTGCAGAACTGACTAATTAGCTTCACAGTAAACATCTTGGCATCTACGTGTGCAGGGCTATTAGTCTGGAGTAAATACAAGTACTATTCTGCTGCAGAGTTTTTTACTCCATGGCACTGCATGTGTAGATGCTGATGCAGCTGGCGGGTACAGGTGCTTCAGTGCGGGGGCTGCCTGCTGGCTAGCCCTGCACTGGAGCACCCTTGTGACCCAGTCAGCTGCTCTGCAGCACGTTGAGCTGGGTAGGAGTAGCACTGGGTGGCAGGTTGACCCCATGGCCCTGGGACTGCTCTGACCCATCTCAATGTGTTGCAGTCCTTGGTGCATGTGTAAACATGGTGTCTGGAAGCAATAAACTCCGGCATGATATGTGTTGCATTAATATGCACATGAAGACATGCCCTCTGTGTCCTGGTGTGTTTCTAGGTCTCTGTGTATCTCCAGTGATGAGAGAGGCTAATCCAGTTCCTTTTAAAGTATCAGCTGAAAGTACCAGAATGGTCATGAACTAATGCTATTTATTGCAGTTGTATTTTCATCCATGGAAATTACCTGAAAAACTGCACTGAGACTTCTAATTTAACCAAACTGTCCATTTGAGAAGTAATGGCTTTTGATCACTGCAGTCCTTTGGAGCAGAATCATTTTATTAAGGAAAAAGTGATGGACTTCATATGAGCTAATCCTATGAGTGTCTCCTTTTTATTTTTCTGTGTGCAAGGTATTTGCAACTAGGAAAAAAAAATTATTTAGCAACAATGAAGACATTTAACTTAAAAAAAATTAAAGGAATTCCTTTGATATTTCTTAAATTGCCAAAAGTAATCCTATTTTTCATCAAAGTTAACACAAATACGTTCTTCATAAGAAACTTCAGTATATTTTTATTTATATATAATGCAAAAAAACCCAAAGTGTTCCATGAATGAAATTCCATAACAATTGAGCACAAGAAAAAAACAACAAACCCAAAACCAAAAACTGGGATCCTGAGCATTTCTACCTCTATCTTTTTTTCTCTTATTTTTTTCCCTCAGAAGTTCTATCTCAAGGTCCAGAGAGACAATTTTCCAGGACCCACTAGACTACATGAGCTAATAGTTTCTGAATTTAACCATTTGAGGTTAGTGATTGGGCATTCCTTGACTCAGGCAAAAGAGTCCTCATAAACAAAGCACATGTTAAATTTTTAAACCCATCTATTTTTCTAAACTTTAGCCTGAACAGGGCTGAGTTGCTTATTTTGGAGACTGTCTTTTCATTTGTTGTACAAATGGTGTATTGAATAGATCCTTGTATTTTTTTTAAATAAGGTACATGTGCCCTGAGGGAATAAAAGGTAGAAAATAATTGCCCCTAAGTTATCTGAGCTTTTCCCGGTCTCTATTATGTTCTCAGACAGATTCTGATCACTGTTTTACATAGTAATTTTTAAGAAAGCGGTTGGCAATATTCTTGTTGGTAGGATGTTAAGATTCTGCACCTCCGGAACATTAATCAAATGTGTGAGGTTACAAGCAAGGTGGAAATCCACTGCTCAATTGCTTGGTTGCTCTATGCCACTGATTCTCAAATGGGGTGCAATGAGAACCTGGGGTGCTGTGAGATGCTGTATAGGTGCTGCCCCGCCACGTGAAACTGCTGCGCTGCACCTCTCTTTCTGAGAGATGCTGTGTGGGCCTGGAGGAGGAAGCAAAGCAGCAGGAGGGTTTCCTGCTTCAGCTCAGCCTGATGGGAAGAGTTGCTATGAGGTTGCTGCTGCTGATCGGCCTGGAGAGTCCAAACCACCAATGCCACCACTGTGGACGGGATACTGTAAGTGCTGCTCCTGCTCTTGTACTTACTGACGGGTGAAGGGTGCCCCAGGAGTGTAGGGGACATGTCTCCCTTTCACTGGGAAAAGAAGTGACTCCCTCTGCCCATATCTGTAGGAGGTGTTGCTAAGTTCAGAAAAGTTATGCAGGGGAGCTTCAGGTTTAAAAAAGGTTGAGAACAACTGCAGTATGCAGATGACTATATATTTGTGGCATGCTCCAAACAAGACTTTCAGGTTTTGGTTGTCTGTTTCATAGTGGACACAGTCAGTTTAAGAAAAAACAATATCACATACCAGCTGGTACCTGGCAAGAGTTATGTGCCACCTGAATTATATATTGCTGAAGAGTGACTTCCTGTGACTCTCAAGTTGTACTATTTGGGAACTGTGCTGACAGATTGAGTTAGGATTAATGACAAAGTTGTTTCCTGCATCTTGAGCACAGATGTAGACATTAGTAACTTGTTCTAGTGGATCTGGAAGCAATGAAGAATCAAGGTCTCCATGAAAGTTAAGGTTTATAAAGCTGCAGTTCTTACTATTTTGCTTTAAGGGTGTGAAACCTGGATGTTGTATAAGTAACAGTTCTGGCAGGTGGTTTGAACATTTCTTGGGAGTTCATTCTGGTGGTCAAGTGGTTTGGCCAAATATCCAATGTTGAGGTGCTGCAACTTGAAGCCTATGACAGCACTGAAGCATTAATAATGAGGGTGCTGTTGGACCAGCCATGTCACCTACATGAGCAATAAGCGTATACTAAAGTGTATACTTTAGCAGCTGATGTTGGAGAACTGGAATGTGATCAATGAAAAGTGAGGCTGGACAAAAAATCAGGGTGCCAACTGACTGCTGAGAATTGCTGATTGCCAGTAGATAGTTATGACATGCGGTAGTCAAAGAGAATCTTGACCTTTTTAAGCAGTGACACTGTCAATCTGCAAGAAAAGTGTACTAGGCTGAAGGAACAACATTAACAGAAGTTACAGACCATGCATCTGCCACAGGATTGTAGGATACACTATAGAAACATTTGTGTTATAAATTGTCCTAGTGAGTTATATATTTTCATTCCACTGGTAGGAATCTTCCAATTGATATCTCCTCAGCCTGAGGCGGTTAGATTGAGTGATCTTAGATGCTTTGGCTGGGTCATGCCTAACTCTAGGGGACTGGAGACCATGACAAGGTGCGTTAAGATAAGCAATAGGGGAAAGGGTAGAATTCAAATGCATTTGTACACGTAATTCTCTTGAACACTAATGTCCCTTACCACCATTCTGGCAGGTTAAATGGATCTTAAACTGAATGAAGATGTTCAGATTCCTTACGCCCATGTTTAGGCTCCATTACTGTGCTAGAGGAGAATAAAGAGACTACTAAATAGGAATCAGGCTCTTATAAAATAAAATTAAGTGATTGGTATTAGTATACGTGGCAATTGAAGGCCTGCTGCTGCAAAGTGCTAATCAAGTCTGTGAGGTGCTGAGCATTCCTAACCACCACATATCTTATTGAGAATTGAAGGTATTCAGTACATTGCATGATCAGATGCTAACAGCACAAATTTATGTACCTCTGAAGGAAAGATTACAGTGTTCTACCATCCCTAAACCACTGGAGGATTTAACTACTGCTTGTAAGAGTTGCCTTGTAGGATGACTATTAAAATAAGACATCCTGCTTGCTAAGATCATTTGTCAGCAGCTTCTAAAATTCTGCCCACCTTCTATGTGTCATCTGGAGGAGATAAAGCTTTAATTGTGAGCGGGTGGTGTAAAAAATAGAAGAGAAGAAAGGGGCCTTCTATCATTCCAAATTTCTTGGAGTAATTCTAGAGAATATCTTGCTTTATATTTCAGCATCTTTGTGCTGGGTGAAGCTTTGGCAAACAGACTTTAAAAATTCAGAACAGCATAAACAAAATCAATAGAAACAATTAAAATTGAGCATGCCAAAAGAGTTCCATAAGGAACGTAGTGCCGCTGCCAAAGGGATGAAGGTAAAAACAGGAACAGTTTTAATTTTGCACTTCTACCACCTTTTTTCCTCAGTAAAATATTTTCTAGTTCTCTTTTTCCCCCCCTCTATTTTTCTTACTCATTGGGTAAAGCCAAATGCAAAGAAGCCCTCTGCAGTCAATCAAATCTGAACACTTTCCCCTACCTGTGCTGAGCAGCTCTAGCTATTTTTCCTCAGCTTGGGAGAAAGATACTTAGTCTACTATACAGAGTTTTGCAATGTACAGGTGAAAAGTGTTAGATAACAGGTAGTCTATCTTTTATTCAAACTATTAAAAGAAATTAACAATTTAGATTTTTTTTTTTTTACAAAAAGACTATTAATAATGAAACAATTAAAATTAAGAATTTTAATATGTTTTAGAAATATTCTAACATAATAAAGGGCTTAGTCTGTCTGTCTGTAGCGCTCTTGGAGCACTCTAATTGGTTACTGAAACAATCAGAGTGCACCAAGAGCGAGGTGGTGGCAACAGCACGGTGGAGCACCATCATGATGGCAGGGACGGAGCAGGGCCCTAGCCCTAACCACCCCCCGGCCCTGCTCCTTGGAGGTGGTGGTAGCACAGGGTGCTGGCGGATGGGGATGGAAAGGATGGCAGAGCAGTGGCAGCACGGGGGCAGGGTTAGGAAGCTTCCCCGCCTCGGTCACCGCCCGTCATTCTTAATGGGCAATTCAATAGTTCTTTACGAATTTTTCAAAATACCAAAACAAACACTTGTCTCTTTGCTCCAAGAATTTAAATTTCCTAGTGCATGGATCACTAGCTCGTAGGAGAGAGCTGTATCTAGAACAAAAAAAATTGTAAAGATTTAATTTAAAAACTGAGAGAAGGGACAAGACATTCCAATTGCACATAGAAATTGCATTCACAATTTAGCTTGTTGTATTTGGGTGTTGTAATCCATAAACTGAGAAACTGGCCTGAAGTGACCTGAAAGAGAACTAGGTGAATGTGACAGGGCATCTGTGGAGCCCATCACAATAGGAAGGACTGCAGATGGACTGCCAAAGGGGGGAAAACCCCCTTTCCTGTGTGGCAGGGGGTAGGAAAACAATAAGCAGTTCAGCGCAGGCTGGTCTAGCTTTATTTAATCTCTGCTGGGGTCTGTAAGAGGAACCTGCACTGAAACAGAACTGCCCAGATAGGTCTGGCCACTAATGCGGAAGTTAAAAGCCCGGGGACTGGATGGGTTAGATTGCTCTGGAGAGGGGATGCCAGCAGGAGTAGGATCTTGTGCCCACCACATGGAGGTGTGGTGATTTGCCTGACTCCTGGTCAGGGAGTTAGCAGAGATGGAAAGACGGGAAAGAAAATTGTGGAACTTACCTCAAGGTGAGAGCTGGTGCAGGAGTATTGCACAAGGATTGGACCAGGAACTAGACTGGTGAGTGAAGCGCTTCTCAGCTGTTGGCTGCGGGGAGTGGATAAGAGGGCTCATTAAAGGGAACTGCTCATGAGAAATAGGTATCCCTCAATGGGAGAGGAACCAGGGAGCTGAGCCAAGGGACTCTGTGTTATATTGGCTCTGGCTTATTGATGGTATCCTGATGAGTTTGTGTGGAGCAGTCCTGTGACTTGGACACTTAAGGGAATGCTGGCCACAGGTAAAAGCCTGTGAGCAATCTGAGAAGGAAGCAAAGACGGGAAAAATAAGAACTGACCAGAGATTTGGGGAATTTGTGGGAGGTGAGGGAACACCCAATTAATATGAGTATGGGCTGTGCCGCAATCAGCAGGCGGTCATTAGAGCTCATTGAAGCTGTGTGAGTGCACTAAGCTAGAACTGTAGTGAAGTTTTGCACCTTTGAACATCTGGCGTGGTAAGGACAGGGTGTAGGGGGCAGAAGAGCCCTGTGAAGAGGCTGAAAGCCATACCTGGATTGCAGTAAGATTCATCAGGCACACCTCTTGATATTTACTTTCTCTTTTGGAATTTTCTTTAACAACAAAGTTGTGGCAGATGTGTGAGAAAGAGGACAATCAGATATTAGGTGGCCTGGCTGCAGCTGGTACTACACAGTAGCCTCGGACCATTACACTTAATAATAAAACACAGACCTAACAGATTGTGTCTCCATTGAGGAAACTGTCCAATATTTTTCAGGCAAAGTATTACTAATGTGATTTTTAAAATGCGGGCAGGAACCAGAGGCTTATCTATGCTAGGGCTCCCAATGTTGCTAATACCAGTAGAGCTGAACTAGGTTAATTCAGTTGTTAAACTAAGTTAAGTCTCACTTAACTAGATTAAGTAGGAATTTACTGCAAAATTTCTCTAGTGTAATAAGGAGAAAG